TAATGTTGAGGAAATACCTATTTATCCACTGAGAATGTTTATTAACTGAGGCTCTAGTGTTTTAGAGTAAAACTTCTTCTCACCAGACATATAGACAGATTAGGTTTTGCATTTCCTACAGTCCTGGAAATAATAAAACAATTTCTAAGACTTCTCCACCTTGAAAGGGAAAAATCATCATCTAGTTTTGAATAATTACTTCTGGAACCCGTGACTGGGATCTCTAAATGATTGCAATGTTTGAACCTTAAACGGCATATCTTTCTTCAGGCTCTTTCTCCAAATTTCCATTGTGGTTCAATGTCTAATCAGGAATATCGTTCTCCAGAACTGTACAGCTGACTATCCCCTGATTAAAATATCTTATTTTGTATAATTTTTATATATATCTCTGTGTGTGTGTGTATATATGGATTTTTCTCTTTTGGGAAGCAGTGCTCTGCAATTTTCTCTAATATTCTTTCATATCTATTCTAGAGTGTTTATGTTAATTGAAAAGTATTACACACATCAAGGATTTTACCAGAGTCCAGTGCACTAGAGTAAGCACCTCCAGGGAACTACCATTTTGTTGGGTGAGAAGAATCACCCTCCAGAGGTTCCCAGAAGTCTAGATAGACTTGGCAACTAAAACATACATAGCCAGAGTTAAGGGAGATGACTCTAACCCTCCCCAGTTAAAAATGTAATCTGCAATCATAAACTATAGAACACAAGACTCCATTATGATTATCCTTTCTGCTGTCTCTGTGAACATTTATCTTGGAATATACTATGAAGTTCAGAAGGATTCTAAAGCAATCAACATGATCATGCAAGTTCAATTTATGCCCTGATTTAGATAGAAAAGATAATTTCCATCTGTACTTACTGTCTACTGTGACACAACTGGCCGGAGCCTTAAATGTAGAGCATTTGTTCCTGCTTGGATACCCAGAAGTAATAACTGAAGGTGAAGTTCGTAAATTTAAAGCAGTGTAGCCTTCCTCATCCTCCATCTCCAGCTCGTCACACTTCTTTCCTGAAATAGCAGTACTTTGGGACTAGGGGCACACTACAACGAGACCAATGAATGCTGAGGTGATGGGAATGGTTCGCTTTTGAGCATTTCCAGTGAAACCACAGAGGATGCTGGCTCTCTACTGATAACTGTGTCATAGTAAAAGTGCAGTATATTGAAAGCATGCTAAGGAGTTAAAGGGGCATTGTCAAGGATGGGTGTTTTCTTCCTGAATGTGAAGATTGGGAGTCTTGGTCCCTGGCTGGAACCTAGGACTGTGTCATTTAACTATCCACCTGATCCGACCCTGTAAATACAGCAAACATCAGGATTTTCTACCTCCTTAAAATTAGATGCTCTAGAAATAGTTTCTATTTTCATTTAAGGTATGAAAGATACCTGCTCATGTATCAGGGCACAAATACAATACAACAGCTGCTCAGAAAACAATAGGCTGCATTTCCATACATTGTTATGAAATCAATGAAAAATGAAAATATTTTACAAAAATTCACTGAAATAAAAGCTTGAAGAGGAAAAGCTGAGCTGCAAAGATGGTGAGGCCAGGAGTTTAGCAGGATTCATGTGACCTCTGAGCTTGTGTCGGAGAAAGACCAGGCTACACTGAGGACCTCTCTGGTATTGCACTGTACCTGGAAGTTATTGTGCAGAAGTGGCTTATCTATTCTCACTCTCCTTCTCTAGCTCTTTGCACTGCCTTGCTCCAGTGCTGAGCAAGTGCTCTCCTCAACAGAGCACTTACCCAGGCATGAGTCACATCATGGTGACAGAGTGAGTCAGAAGGAAATTGCAAGAGAGGAATTTCTGTGGTAGCTGTTCCTGTTCTTCTGTGTAAAGTTCATAGTCTTTCATTTGCAAAAGAATATCAACAGACTGGAAATACACTTTAATGACTAGGCTATTGTTCCTGTCTTGCTGTGCAGATCGTTGGTTTTTTCGGAGCAGGTACACCTCTGGCTGCATGTATTCCTTGCATTATGTCTTATATGCAAAGAGAAGGCATGATGGAAAACTTGGGAGTAAAGGGTGCTTACAGTCAAGTTTTGTTACACAGACAGGCATCCAAGCAGTAAATTCACTGTATACTTGTGGTGTATCCATAATATCCTCATGAAAACCTCATGCTAAGTATGGTGCAAAAATACTTGTCTGTCAGGCCTGAAAACTGTGTTGACACCTTGGTGTAAAAAGGGCTTTTCTGCAGACAGCTGGGAGTCAAGTGTGTCTATGCTACTGAATTTGGTTGCAGGTTTTCATGACAGCAGCCTCGTCAGTCTTGGCAACAACTTCTCAAGCATGTAAAAAAAACTCCTTTGGAGAAGCTTTTCTCCAACCTGATTCTACTTCTGGAGAGAAAACAGGAGGTAAAGTAATTTTCTTGTATTATTTTGGTAGCTCTGAACTCAATAAGCAGTCTGCTAATTTTATAACTTTTTTTTTTTTTTTTTTAACCGCCTTTTAAAACAGATCCTGCTTCAAGAACAGAAGTAACAAAAGCAGAAGATGGGGCTTTACATTCATGCTCACTGTTCTTGTAAGGATCCAGGGCAGGCAAAATTTCTTGTTTCTTCAGACTAAAATGAAAACAAAAGTAAACTAAGGCAGGAATTTTGGGTGTACATTTGAGCACAGCCCATGTAGAAATGCTGTCAGCAGGCTGGACAAAGCAGCTGTGTTTATTAACCAGGATGTGGCTCTGCAAACAGCATCAGCTGGAGTCTGGGACTGGGTGGGGGTGAGGGGAAGAGTGGGTTTTAGACACAGGAAACACACTGTCATATGGAACGTTGATTCAAAAATGCCACCTCAGCCAGTATACAAACAGTACGCTTCTGTATCTCTTTCCCTGTAAGTAAAAACTCCTTTCAACAGAAAAGGGGATACAGTCAGTGCATCCTTAAGGCCTTCCAGGTTACAACACCACCAGGGTATGTCCTGTGCCAGTTTCAGCCTTAATGGATGCGGTTGTTCACTGCAGCGAGGGCTTGGGCACTGCCTAAGTGTCTAAGTGTCTCTGGAGTGACTTTTTCTTTTTCTCTCTCTCTTTTTTTTTTTTTTTTTCCTCCAGTCTTTCAGTCTGGTTTTTGAGGAAAAGACACTAACTTTCTGTTTCTATAGGATGGCACATTGTGGAACTGTACCCTAACCCCACCTGCCTTTACAGTTACAAACACAGTTGCTGCATGATGGGCTGCTTTTGGGCTAGCAGTAAACTGGCTCAAAAGATCGAGGCCTCAGTAAGATATAGTGTAGCCTTGTGGCTGCCTGTTCAACCTGGAAAGCTGTCAATGTCAGCTCACATTTGTCTTTAACAAGCTGCAGAAACACCTAGGATTCTCCCATCTGCTCTTAGGTCTGCCTCATTAATGAAGAAATATCCCAGCAACATCTTTTCTGTTTCTTTCTTTTTATTTTCTTTTTATTTTCTGTTTCTTTCTTTTTATTTTCTGCTTTATATTTTCCGTTGAATTACAGCAAAGCCCTTCATCATCAAGAAAGGATGCTCCATGAATGCAGTCCAGGATACCTTCCACATGAGATTTCTTGTTTCAGTGTAGCTGGTATGAATGCTGAGAGACACTCCGGGAAGTCACCAGGGCTGTGTCTACACTGCAGGACAGAAGCACTCTGCATTTTCACCCCCAAAGACAGGAACAGCTAGCAGAGGTTACATTACAGATGTGAATGATGAGTGTAAATAGCAGAGGGGAAGAGAAATCCACTAAGGCTTCAAGAGCATGAAACTGGTATTTGAAAATAACACCCAAAATGTTCATGTTGGTGGTCAGAAACTGCTGTGTAGTGCTGAGACCAGTGAGACACTAAAACAGACTCTTGAAGGGAATGACAAACGCTTTAGCAGCCCAGCTGCTACACCAGTGGGAAATGATCCACAATAAATAATCTGGGATGCAATCCACAAGGGATACACAAGTCTCCAGAGCGGACCAAACTAGGAATTTGTCGACTTTTTACTCAAATCGAAACACTGTTATGGGACTGAGATTTCTTATTTCAACCTGACTGTCTTTATTCCAAGAAGATGTGGAGGGAGACATTTTGTTCATCAACACAGCTTGGGGTATTTTCACTGTGGTTGGGTTTGTAGACCCTTGCTCAGCACGTTAAGTTATCAGTATGGCATTCCGGGAAATATCCTAAAAATAAATAAAAGGAGATTCTGTTCATGCCTCTGACTGAACCCTAGTGTAACTCTTGCAATAGATAGAAAAGTAGAAAATTAGAAATGTAGAAAAGACGAGCAGAATTATTACTAGAAAATTAAAAAAAAAGAAAAAATATAAAAAAGAACTAACAGTGTCAGGAAGAAGTATAGAGCACAGAAGAGAGCTAGACGTTCATAGCTGAAGCATATCTTCTCCTGTGACACATGCACAAGTCCTTACGAGGACTATGAATCCCTGTGCTCCAGAGCAAATATGATTATTAATACAGTTCAGGAACACCTTGTCACACCTTCTGAGGACAACTGTGTGTGTTGTATACTCCAGCCTAGTAGTGTATTAAAGCAGTCAGATCAACAAGACATCAGAAACATCTCCTGAATGGAAGTGTTTAATCTTCATTGCTTGTGTTAAGTTACAGCTGTACAGTTATGAACTGACAAGTATTAGGAATGTATCAGTGGATGCTGGGAGAGGAGCAGCATCTTTACTGCTTGCCTTGTCACTGCTTTTTTTCCTGGTCATCACTTTTGGCCATTTTGTCCATCACTTGTGTTGGTTGAAACTGAATAATCATTTGGCAGTTTTGGATCTGGAATGAAAGACTTGGGTCACTCCTGCAGCCCATCACCATGCTTGTTTCCTCAGTATGAAGATATTTTTATATATGTCTACAGGAGAATGAAAACAGGGAAATGTAAGTCCAATCCAACATATGTAAATTCTCGTGTGATAGTTCTGGAAAACAAAATAATAAATTCCCACCTTGCAGAAAGTCTACTAGCTTCTCATGATCATTTTATTCTGACAAACCAGTCCTCCTCGTTACCTCGCTGTAATTGGATGGCGGGCTTTTCACAGACATAGTAAAACTCTTCTTTACATTGCCTGCTATATATGGTAGTATAATAAAAATATCCACAGCTTTGGGAGTTTAAATGCTTTACCCTAGGAAAGAAAAATCTTGATCGTTACATCTCACATAATTCAAATGGTTCATCTTGCCCCTTCCAAAAAGAGCCGTCTTTGCAAGAATTACTTATGTGTCTTTCACAAAGAATATATACTTTCAACAAGGAAATAAAGCATTTAGTGACATTGTGCACCAACTCCTATGAGGCTGATCCTGTCCTGAACACACCAAGAAGCACCCCCAGCAGACTCTAAGGGTGGATCCTAAACCACTTCTTGTACCTGACAGTAAGAAATGCTAACTCCTGGGCACTGACTGGAGGGTCTCAGTGGCTGTTTCAACAGAAAAGTTAAGAGAATACTACTGCCCAATAATGAAAAGGAAAATTGGCAAAGCAGGTTTGAAAGCAAGAAGAAAAATATACTGCATTTCAGAAATAACATGTAAAACCAAAGTGAAATTATTCTAGACAGCATGTAGTGTCTTATATAAAAATGAAAAAGTATAAAATCAAAAGCATTAAATGAAATACCTTTCCATTGGAGTTTTTTCCATGTGTCCTTACTGAATCAAGATGTCAAATACAAGAGAAACATATGACATTTATGGTCAAGTTGAAACTAAATTCTGAAATAAACTTTCAAGATACTTTTTTTGCTGAGTAATAGTGCCTAGATCAGCCTCCAAGCAGTCCTGGGTGAGGCCAGGAAAAATCTGGAATGGAAAGGTGAGACCCAGAATACAGAGAAAGCTGTATAAAAGTTGGTTGTTCAGTATTCCCTGTATGTCAGAGAAATAAGGAGTTGTGTGTGGGTCAGGAACAAGCTTATGTACTGCAGGGAAAGCTGCCCACTTACCAAGATTTTTGTTGTTCTGTAAGAGCTGTGTTGTCTGCCCAATACCAGTCTCTGTTTTGAGCTCTAAATGTTAATCCAAGCCAGTATGTGTTTCTAGGAAATTTTTTTACCAATTCCTATGCAGAGTAAGGACAATTTAAAACAGATATTCTTAAAGATAATAAAAATAAATATTTAGGCTCAGAAGTTCAAAGCATTGACAGAAATTGCTTGAAGGACATAAATACCACAAATTGTTAACTTGTCAGGAAAAGTTCTGCACTTACAGGAAAAGCCTAGTATCAAAGGCGAAATGATAGAGAAGAAAAAACCCAGTAGAGCTGTTTTTAATCGGAGAGAAGATAAACTTATAGCTCTGAAGAGCAATGTCACTCTCATAATCTTATTTAGACCCTCTGAGTGAAACACTGGACCATTCCTTCCCACTTTAATCCCAAATCATTCCTTCCCCTTTACTCTGTCTTTAGCATTTGTCAGCCATGAAAAGGAAGCCTTGCAAGGAGCTATTGGTTAGTTTCATTGTACTTTCACACTTGATTCTAGCATCATTTACTTATTCCCAAGAGCTTGTCCATGACAAGTGGAGGAGGTCTTAAAGTTAAGCATTTAGCGATATTCTGTTCTTAAAAAATTCTCTGAGCAGAACAGGTAAGAATGTAAAATTAAGTAATCCTGCCTTTCTCACTGCTGCTTGAGAAAAATCTCTGAAGATTTGAATTCAGTTTTTCTCTTGTTCTCCTTCCTTCACTTACCACTGTCACTCCCAGTGCACTTCTCTATTTTCTCTTTTTCCTCATGCCTCTCCATGCCATGATTAAGACAGCTAGAACAGGCTGGACCTCACAATCTTTGCTGTCATCAAATTGGGAGGTGAGAATAAAGCTGCTCCCCTTTACCCCAAGGAGAAACATTATGGCCTGCAGCTCAGTGAGAGGGGAACTGGCGTTTGTCAAGTGCTGGAGAGGAGGCACCCCAGCCCTGACTGCTAGCTCTTGGGCATCTTTTCTGCCTTCAGTCTTCCAATACCTCTGCTGGCATCCAGAGGCAAAAGCATTATGTCACTCTACAGCTGGCATTTATTTTCACACCTCGGTTTGTTTTCATTTACTAAAAGACTAGGCCAGATTTCAGCAACATGCTGACAAAGTGTTTTAATTTTGGTTGAAAAGAGGAGATCAATTTTTTGTGGAAAGAACTTCCACAAAATGGGAAGGACTATGGTTCACCTATGGAAAGACCAGGTCAAAAGAGGTTTTCACACTGATATCTTACCAAATCCTTGTATGGATCTGTAATCCTTGTTAAATTAGTGAATTCTTTGCCCACAACAAAACAGCCATGAAATCGCTTTCACCAGTCATCCCAGTGAACAGCCAGCCACGGCAAGCCGTGGCAAGGGACGCTATTTCTGACCACCAGCCACTCAAAGGGCGGCACTTTGTGTGGCGATGACCAGTCCTATGCCTTAGCGCTGCCCAGGACAACCTAATCGCTGTAGAAAACTTCCTGCTCACTGTGCCGTTTAAGAAAACTACACGTGAAGTGAGGAGCTGATAGGGTGCATGAACTTCTTCCGTACTAAACAGAGTGAGAAATGAGTCCATACCAACTTCGCTTCGTCTTTTATCAGAAGAAGAGTAGAATTTTTTGAGGAACAAAACTGGTCACTCTGTTTCCATGACTTCACTTCCTCTGAGTGGTAGTAACACGTATCACCACCTTCCCACTTCCAGTTTGCAGGGCAGAGTGTGCAGTTCTGGCCTGGGAAAGGAAAACTGTCACCTCATTTCTGTTCCCAGGCTGTCCCTCAAAGAACATTGCTGTTGGCCTGTGACAACAAGATCCATAGGAACTGAGTATGTTTGGGATAGTCCTCACTCAGAAAAAAAATCCCACTGTGGTCCCAGAAGGTTCAGGTAATGAAAGAGATTAAAACTGAATCACAGCCCCCCAGCCCTCCCCCATCTCTCCATTCCTTTAGCACAGGGGGGAGGTTCAGATGCTGGAGGTGGGATTTTTTTTCCCCTGTCTTTAGGAGCTGCAAAGATGACATGAGTGAGCCCACCTGGATTCCCATCTTACTCAATGGACAGAAGTAGGTGCCTCTCACACATGCTTTTTCTGTCATTTCAGGTGTCTTCCTTGGAGAAAACAAACTGTATCCTTGTACTGCCAATTTCTCTCCATTGACTGAAATGGAGACCTAGACAGCTTGCCTGTGGAACAATATCTGAACAAATGAAATCCCCTTTCCCAACAGTCACAATAGGATCCCTTTACCCGAGGCTCCTACTCCTCAGAGTAGGATTTCTGAAGAGAACTAATTCTCTGGCTGGCTTATTGTCAGATGCCACTTAAAATAACCCATCTGTGGCAAACTGATTTCAGAAGCAGCCCTGCACTGGACACAGTCAGGAGACGGGGAGTGAACTCGCAGGTTGGTTTAGGTATGCTTCACCACACATCACTTCTGACTTAAGCAGATTCCTGTCTTATCTGGGGTTGGTACTAGCACACTGTCCTGTGTGTGGACTGCTGCTCACATAGAATTTCGTAAGGTGTTTAATTCTCAGGCACCACCGTAAAATTGTCTATTAGATACGGGTGAGATAGTTGTAGAGGTCCTTGAACTAGTGCTGACGAGAACTGGCATGTGCAGAAGGCATCCCCACAGAACCTTTTTCTTATGCAAACTAAATCCTGAAACTCTGGTACCACTGCCAGGCCCCACACCAGTGCACATATGGCTGGGCTGGGCGACTCTCTCCAGACACTGCATGAGGCAGACGTGCACCTTTCCTGCTTTCTAGGCATTTACATCTGAGAAGACACACGGTCATCTAAGGAGACAGACCTGGGTAGGCACAGAAGATACACACCTTGTTCCCTTCCCTGCCATACTGAAATAGAAGCCCTCATCAAAACTTGTTGATTTACCATTATTTTGAAGGTTTTTTTCCCCTTCCAGGCACAGTTGATGTCCTATTGCTTGCAGCATATTTGATAAATTTGCATGCAGCTCATTCTTTGTCATGAGGTCTCTAAGTTGTGTCCTGTAGTCCTTGGAAATCTGGAAAACTGAAATTCAAAATAAGACATTTTCCAGTGCAGTCTTTCAGAAATGGGTAGAATGCAGATAGGGAATGGCTTAGCAGATTATTAGGGATAAATAAACAATTTGGGATAAATGTTATTTTTCCCTGAACAGTTGCTGCTGAGATGGAGAACGTTATTGTTTGGCTGTGAGTGAACAACAAAATGAAAGTGTCACTTTTAATCATATATTTCAGTTGTGTATCTTTCTCTTAAATTGGTTTCTAGGCTGTGCTTTTTTTCCTAAAGATGTGAACTTCAGCTCTGTATCACAGTGGAATTGTTGTGGATGGGAGGTAATGGGCACAACCTGTTCCCTTGTGACACAAAGCTTTTCCCTTCCCTTCAGATCCAGCATTATCAAAGAGGAATTCATGCTATCCTTAGTCAGCACAGTAGGACTGTGGATACAGTTTTTAGGAGACCAGAAAATGAGCCATAGCAAGTGGTGAATCTCTTACTCTACTCCTTTCCATCTCCCCTCTGTGTTGCTCATTTCTAGCCTCCTCACATTGAGGACAAAGATGCTCTGGCAAGGGAAAATATCTGGTTTGCCTGTTCTCAGATGAACCAGAAATTGTGTCTGAAGGAGATGTCAGTCTGATTTTATTTAGTGTCTTGGCCCCCTCAGAAAACAGAAATGCATTAGTACTTACATAGAACTGCCAGGGTCACCAGCGCCATCAGCAATGCCAGACAAAGCATGAACAAAATCAGGACTACTGGCCAGCAAGAGCGGGATGAAGTGGGAGGCCCTGGGAGGAATTCAGTCATGAAATGGAGGTGTGATACTAAAGGGATGATAAACACATTAGCTTCATTAAATTACACCCATCTTTGTGGTGCATTGGTCAATAAATTATTGCTTTTACTTTATGGTCCTATACTCCTGCTGCAGAGTCTCTGCACACAGCAAAAGATGTCCAAACAAAGTAAGAGAATGAGAGATCACAACAGCTCAGTGGAGAATGTGGACAGCTTTGGTCTTTTCAAGGCCATAAATTGTGGCAAGAAAGATATTGAAAAAGCAAGACATTGCAAAATCTGTAAAGTTGATTGCTGAAACTGGAAAACAAATATGCACTGTATGGTTGTGTTAATTTGTAATGTGTGACATATATCTGGTCATCTGGTTAATCTGAGTGCTACAGTAAACTCCTCTGTTGCTTTATGGTAGTTTGAGATTTCTAGCTAGGAATTCATACGGAATTTTTCTGTAATGAGGGTTACAACCTAGATACAGAGATAAACACTGAGTGAGGAGAAAAAGGAACAACCTTTTCCTGAGCAAAGGAAATTTTAAGCATGTGGGTCATGCAAAAGAGACCTTGTTTATAAAAGCTGGAATATTTCATGGGTTAAGATGCACTGAAGGAGGGAGAAAAAGCATTCAGTTTGTCAGAGGAGCACCAAATCTAAGGCAGATATAAAAGTTGCCACTACATGGACTTTGTGGAGAGCTGCAACCAGCTTGACTTAATCCAATAAAGGCAGTAGAATGGGAACACAGAGAGGAAATTGATAGTCTAGAAAAGGGAAAGGAGTATTTAAAATTGGGGAATGAATTGCTGAAGGAGTAAAAACTGAAATTTAGTGTGTCAGGCTAAAGGAACAAGAATGGAAATTATGCAGCGTGCCTTTCCTACATATAGCTTGTGGCCAGCTTCTGTGGTGTAGCAATCCTGGGCAGAATGTTGTACAAGACCTCACTCTATAGAAACTCATGTTGATGAATTACAGCAGGTAGGAGAAGATCAAGGAATGGATGACATCTTGAACTGGGACACAGATCACTGCTGACTTATCTTCAACTTCCTGTTCGCCATAAAACTCAGGTCCTTTCCAGCAGAGGCCTCCGCAGTCATCCTGCTCCCAGGCTGTACCACTGCCTGAGATTAGTCCAGCCTCAATACACAACAACTCGTGGAGCTTCATGGGGCTTCTGCTCACCCAATCCTAAAATTTCTCAAGGTTCCTCTGTATTAAAGCTCTACCACTTGGTAGCGTCAGACACCACTCCTTATTTAGTATCATTATATATTTGCTGAAGACACACTGTCATGTTTCAGATTGTTGAAGGTATTAAACAACATAGTCTCAGGATCAGCTCCTCAGGGACCTCCAAGGGACTCTGCCACCAAACAGAGGTTGAGCCATTAGTTACTTCCCTCTGAGCCTGGTAGTCCAGCCAGTTTTCAACTCACCTAACAGCCCATAACTTCCTCAGGTTTAAAATAACAATACTGTAAGAGACACTGACCAAAGCCTTGCTGAACATTTATATCTTCCTTCACTTGCATTTCATCACAGAATGCAAACCCAGTCTAAAGAAGTGCTCTAACTGCTTGATATTGCACAAAAGGGAAATACCCAGGCCCTTCACAAAGAGAAAGAACATCTCCAAAGTCTGGTCTCACAGGCATATGACAGACATACTCAGAGATAAAGCCTGCACAGGAGAATCACACACCTTATAGATCCTAACAAGACTTAAGGACACATTGACTGCTAGGACAAATTGATATTTTTAAGGTCAAAGTACCTCTGTATATGCTCTGAAGATGACTATTAGGTGCCTGGAGAACTTCAATAATAGAAATTTGACTCCCTAAGGCAGGCTGCTAAATAGATTCATATGAATTGGAGCTAAAGGGCAAAAAGAAATTATTCATATCCTTACAAAGTCACAGCCTCAAGCTGAAGAATGAAGGCATTATAGTCCGTGCTTCCTGGACCTTTAGATGAGAAGAGACAAAGATTTTGTAGTTTGAAAGTGAAATTTCATAAACAAATAAAAAATATTTTCAGGGCAGCAATATGAATCAAGACCCAGCAGTAGTTTTAGCTTTGTCTGTTTTAGTTAAAGTATTGCCTCAAGACTTTCTTTAGGTAATGGTTCCCGGTACTGTACTTTGTAACCTCACACTGCTTCTGCTACACCTAGCACAGCTGAAGGGACTGCTTGGGATGGGTCCTCCTTCCTGTACAGTATTCCTGTGGTCCTAAAATGGATGTATTTATTCATTGTAGTTGTTTCGATTTGATGTTTGTGAAATAATGCAGGCTGTGCTGTGCCATCTTGGAATGGTGCTTTCTCATCATGAAATATGCTTTGTCTACCCTGGGACATAGAAGCGGGAGTTGTATGAGGATACTGGTGTCATTGGACATTACAGGAAAAGAAGTCCAGAGCTAAATACAAAGACAGGTCAGATTTTTTACCTTTTTTTTTTTTTTTTTTTTTTTTTTGCCCCTGTATTATGCTTTGGCAATGCTCAAAACCATAACTTGACATAACATACATTCAAAAAGCATAAAAGAATTCAAAACCACTGCTCTTTGGTACAGAATTCCCCACAGAATTCCTTCTGAATAGCAAGCAAGTTGTCCTCTTTTTCGTAAACCCCTGCTCCATAGCCTCACCCTACAAACAGCTTGTATTTTCTATGTTCTTTGTTCCCATAAGTTGCACCACTCAAATCTAGAGCTCGTCTTCACAGGTACTCTTAAAAATTTAACACAAATTAAACAAAATTAATTTAAAATTGGTATGTAAAATATGGTGTTTAACATGCATTCAGCCCTTTAACAGATGGAGCCATTTCAAAGACCAGTGCCTTAATTCAGTCCACAACTTCAGAAGTGAAATGAGGTGGGTCAGTTAAAGCTAATTCAGTTTTAAGCTTGAATGCAAATGCATGGAGAAATTAAATCGAACTGATCCACTTTAAAAAATAGTTCAAGTTAACTCTTTTGAGGTTTAGACAATTAGGATTATTTGTGGAGCTCAGTATAACTCAATAATATACTTTTCTCTGAAATAAGATAATAAATTCACTATTAATAAGATAATTAATAATAAGACCACTATTTCAGGCATACCTTCCAAACTCTAAAAAGTTCAGACAGAAATGACAGCAACAAAAACCAGGACACACTTATAACTAGTATATTTTTCTGGTAATAACAAAGCTAATAAAGGCCCCTTGTGCATATAATTAAAAGTATTTACTATTCCATCTACTTTAGCAAGAATCAATCATAAAAGCCTCATAGATACTACACCTTTTTCCTTAGTATCTTCAGGCTCTGGGATGTTATGCAGCACATGGCTGTTTCCAAATTTCAGATTGGCATATGTTACTTCTTCTGTCATAGCTGGTAAAAAGAAAAGCATCAGAACAAAAATGTAGAAAAAAGATCTAGCATCTGCAGCTAGTAAGCTAGGAAGAAAATCTACCCCTTTGTGGGGTTTCCTTATATTGGCAAACAGAAATGAAGCAGCAAAGACGTCCAGATACATCTGAGCTTCCTCAATCACAGTATGGCCAAGAGGGTGTTCCTCTCTCATTCGTTGCTATATTCTCTTTCTTCCTGTTTACCTCACTTCCAACCTTTCTTTGGTTGGAAAGCTTGAGGGCTTCCAGCTCTGATGATTGACCTGTTGATTAACTAGTTCAAGTTGATATTTTCTCTTGTACATCTTCTCTGTTAGATAATGCTGGTCTGATTTTTTTCTTTTTAAATCTTTCCTGCTTTTTTTCCCTCTTCTTTCTTTTGCTTCTTCTTAGTCTGGAATTCTGCTTCCCTTTGACCTCTCAATACTTCTTGTTTCTCCAAACAAGTTACCACACCTCCTAGTGTACAAGTATTTATAATATGTCATATTTTGTTAGAAGCTTCTTCTATGCTATTCAGTTCAAAGAACTAAGTAACTACAGAAATGGTATTTAACACGTTTCAGAACAGCAGGATAGGATAAATTTGTGTTTGTCTGAGCATTCAGTCATTTACGTCAAGAAAATAGTTCAGGATGCTACACTTCTCAGAGGAACAATGACTTCCTTGCAGCCCCTAACAGGTCTTCTTTGGGAAATTTTTTTCTGTTCTAAATTCCCTTTTCTCTCATAAAAAAAAAAGAAAAAAAAAAGAAAAAATATTTGGGGGAGACAAAGATCACAGCCAACATTATTTAGAATACCTTTTATTAAATAGTGGTTAGTATTGATACAGCCAAGCTGTTATTACTAAAAGCAGATGGATATTCACAAAACACATTCTCTTGCTCCTGTAGTGCAGTTGACACACTTGTTGACAGTTCCATGATGGGAGCAGCAGCGGTGAGGCCCATCGCAGCAGGACACTCACTGGCAGAAGGGTGTATTGACACACTGGTGGCTTCTAGGCAGGGGTTCAGGAAGTCTCTCAGGGGGCCCTGAATTTAGTCAAATGTATGCACAACCCTGTAGCCTTTGTTGGAAACATCAGCCACTGCTGGGCAGCAGTCTGGGTTACTCTCTTTGTTGTAGATGCAGGTGTGTGCCGGTGGTATAGATTTGGCAGGCTGGTGGTATTCTGGGCTGGCCAGGTCTTGCAGCTCCAGAAGAACTCCTGAGCTGCAGGGTTTATCAGTCTTTAGGAGGATTTTGCATAGTACCTCTCAGCATAATCTCCCACAAAAGGCTGCTTACAGCTATCCATTGAATTTGTGTCTCTTACTATATTTTTCACTACTCTTTAAACTAACGATTGTATTATGCAAGAATACTGTGGGTTACTAGGTAACATTCTTAGTAAACCATGTGAATCAGGAAATTACACAGCAGAGGGTGTGTCAATGCCAATGACACAATAAAAGGATGAGCTGCCTCCTGTGCTTGAGTAATGAAGGCTACAGCTTCCCCTTTGTTCCTCTCCACACAGTCAAAAGGGACATCTATTCCCTTATTTAAAAGCAGGCTCTATCACAAAAGAAGTCTCCAGTGCCCAAGAGTTGCTTACACCTATTTTACAAGGCTGGGACAGAAAGTAAGCAAATTAAGCAATTCATAGGTAGGTAAGAATGCCAGGTAAAGAGAACTGAGATATCTTCTAAAAAGAAAAATGTTTAAGCAAATCAGTCATGCCAGAAAAGAAAGTCAGGAAAGACAAAAAACCACAAAGAAACATCAATACAAGCTACAGAAAGTATGATTACAGAGTGCTATCTTGCAAAATGCCTGAGAAGGAGACAGGACATGAAACTGCCTTTTGCAGGCAGTTTGGAAGAGAAGGAAGTGAAGACCAAAATGAGCTGCTCCTCCAGGGCTAGGGTGGCCTTCTCTGTGAGCCACAAAGACAGGCAGTTGTGCAAAGAGAAACGGGCAGCATGTATTGGAGCTGGAGCCCCTGTGTGTCTCGTTCCTGTGCTCCAGTACTTGACATATGAGACTGTAGTCACAGACAAGGAAATCTCAGAGCAGCACATTTCTCCACTGCATATTCTCCAAACTGTCAAAAGACACTCTGAATTTAAGAAACTCCTGGCAGGCATCATATCCTGCAAGGCAGGGTCACACCAAGGAAAGAAGTCAGTTGCCACACTATTCAAGAAGAGGAAGATTCAACTATCATCCATAAGAAGGATTGCACATAGGAGTGTCACCTCCAAGTGTGAAGAAAGTAGACGCTCTTGCCCCACACTGGCAAGGCAAGGACTGTCATGTTTGCAAGGCTCTTGCCAAATCCAGCTCTATGGTCCAAGGGCACAGTAAAAGCCTCTGCCATTCTCTGGAGGTGAGGCACCCTCACCAAACTCTAGAGTTTGGTGAGGGTGCCTGGCAGGTACAGCACGTTGCTTTCAGGTGAATAAAGGGAGCTGATATGGCTTCTTATTGATATGATTTATTTTTCATAAGAAAGCTTTTTTTTTGAGAGTTACTTCCATATTCTTGTTCCACAAGCTGTACCAATGGTTTCAGCCAAGTTACCACTGTGTCAGTGATGGAAATCAGAACATCCTCATTCAGGATGTACCCTGGATTTGAGCTGTAAGTAGATGATGGAGGCACACTGAAGTGCATAATAACAACAGTAAAGTGGGATGCACAAATGGAGAAGGCTTTCCATCTTCTTTCAGCAGAAGAGATCTTCAGGATGGTGTTGAGAATTAGAAGGGAAGAGAGGAAAAAAGGAAAAATCCACATCTGGATAACATGTCCCAGCAAATACTCAAACCACACCTCCCAAATTGCAGAAGTCAAGGCAGGGAACGGGAGAATGAAGAAGCTCCCACTGCAGGAGAAGATTACATTTGAGACTATCTAAGGAACTTGAAGGTGTACAGGTCCATGTGACCTGATGAGATGCATCCATGGGTCCTGAGGGAACTGGCAGATTAAGTTCCTAAACCACTATCCATCATATTCTAGAAGTTGTGGCAGTCTAGTGAAGTTTCTGCTAACTGGAAAAATGGGAAAAATAATGCCATATTTAAAAAGGGAAATACCTAGGGAACTACAGGCCAGTCAGTCTCACCTCTGTGCCCGGCAAGATCATAGAGCAAATCCTCCTGGAAACTATGCTAAGGCACATGGAAAACAAGGAGGTGATTGGTGACAGCCAACAAGGCTTCACTATAGGGCAAATCATGCCTGAAAAACTTGGTGGCCTTCTGTGATGGGGTTACGACGTTGGTGGACAAGGGAAGAGCAGCTGACATCATCAGCCTGGACTTGTGCAAAGCCTTTGACACTGTCCCACATGACATCCTTGTCTCTAAATTGGAGAGACATGGATTTGACAGAAGGACCACTCAGTGGATAAGGAATTGGCTGGATGGCCATACTTAGAGGCACAGCTATTGCTGCTGCTGTAGCAACTTGTTGCCCGATCACTATCAGATAAAAGTTGGGATTTCACCCTTTACTTAGCTCAGGTTCAGTTCTCTACTCAGCCATTTCCTCCTGTGTTCTTCCACTACCCACTTCTCCATCTGCAGCTGCTCCTTGGAGGAGCCATTTTCTCGTGCTCCTCCCTTTCCTGTTGTTCTCTTCAGCTGTGCTTCCCATGCCATCTCAGGGATGAAGTGACTCCTTATCACTCTCTCCAACTACCTGAAAGGAGGGTGTAGTGAGGTGGGTGCTGGCCTCTTCTCTAAAGTAACAAGTGATAGGACAAGGGGAAATGGCCTCAAGTTGCACCAGGGAAGGTTTAGGCTGGATATTAGAAAAAATGTCTTCACTGAAAGAGTGATCAGGCATTGGAACAGGATGCCCAGGGAAGTGGTGGTTTCTGGGTGGAGTCACCATCCCTCGAGGTGTTCAAGAAATGTGTAGATGTGGTGCTTAGGGACAGGGTTTAGTGAGTTAGGTGGTGGTGGGTTGATGGTTGGACTTGATGATCCTTCAGGTCTTTTCCAACCTTAATGATTCTCTGATTCTATGATTCTAAAGGTAGATTTGTAGTTTCCAGTATGCTAAATAAAGCCAGGAAAACAGAATCCAGTGCATTTGTATAATACTGACACCCAAGCATTTATTCTATTGAGAATTTCCTGCTGTTTGAGAAAAGATCACAAATATTAGGACCCTCCCTCAATTTGTGGAGTACGTGCAAGGAACAATGCCACTAAAGTAGCAGGGTTCATAAATATTAATTTGGATCTGTGACTGCTTACACAGACTAAGGCATTAAAAATCAGATTACATCAATGGTAAGCATTCTGGGGAAACTGGAAAGCAACAAGAATTTACTATTAATACCAGAAGCCAAATATAAAATTGATCTCTGCTAGTGGTACAGGTGTTTGAAAACACTCTGTTTCTGAAATTACC